CACACTTGTGATCATCTTTAGGTTTGTTATATACACACTTGTGATCATCTTTAGGTTTGTTATATACACACTTGTGATCATCTTTAGATTTGTTATATACACACTTGTGATCATCTTAGGTTTGTTATATACACACACACTTGTGATCATCTTAGGTTTGTTATATACACACACACTTGTGATCATCTTTAGATTTGTTATATACACACACACACACTTGTGATCATCTTTAGATTTGTTATATACACACTTGTGATCATCTTTAGGTTTGTTATATACACACTTGTGATCAGCTTCAGGTTTGCTATATACACACTTGTGATCAGCTTCAGGTTTGTTATATACACACTTGTGATCAGCTTCAGGTTTGTTATATACACACTTGTGATCATCTTTAGATTTGTTATATACACACACACTTGTGATCATCTTTAGGTTTGTTATATACACACACATTTGTGATCATCTTTAGGTTTGTTATATACACACTTGTGATCATCTTTAGGTTTGTTATATACACACTTGTGATCATCTTTAGTTTGTTATATACACACTTGTGATCATCTTTATGTTTGTTATATACACACTTGTGATCATCTTTAGGTTTGTTATATACACACTTGTGATCAGCTTCAGGTTTGTTATATACACACTTGTGATCAGCTTCAGGTTTGTTATATACACACTTGTGATCAGCTTCAGGTTTGCTATATACACACTTGTGATCAGTTTTAGGTTTCTTATATACATATGAAAAAGAGGTGCTCACTCCAGAGGTCTAAAAATCATTTTATCTCTGTGTTTTACAAGTCTCTAATTTGCATCATAATAATAAATTATGTAGGATTTATTTATCATTTTTTTTCCGTAGAGGCTGTATTCTTATTCAATTATGTAGATTTGAAAATATATTTATTGTACACAGTTTAATATAAAAGAGCACTAACTTTTTAGTTGACAGCTTGTACACCTCTGTAATGGGTAGTAATACTTTAAATCCTTTAGGTTTCACTTTTATCTTGATTTTTTTTTCCTATCTAGAAGAGCCAGGTTAATGTTATCATTACCAGCAGTAACTGTCCTGTTGCTTTTTTATATTTTAATGTATTTTTCAAGAGGAAAATTTACATGTCAGGAATGTTATTTCCCTGTCAAGTTTTATTAAGTTTAAGTAGAACTACTGTGTGATGATGCTGTACAGAATCGATAATAAAACATTGAAGCGTAAACACTGTCTCATTCAGCATATGTGTTTGATGATGTACACAATACTTGTTTCTGCATTATACAATAACTCTTCTGTTAATAAAGGTGTTAATAATACATTCATTCTGCATAGACGATAACTTGGAAGATTAGATCAACACAGTCTTTGGAGTGTATTCATGAAACTACAAAACACATCAATCAATTTAATAAGTCGATTCATTTAGAGTTTTTGGTTTCAAGTCGTATTTGAAGCGTAAACGTAAGGAATATACTTTTTGCTTAACCTTTTATGACAAATATTGATAGATGATGGTTTTACTTCATTATATTGTATTACTTTATTTACTGGATGTCTCGGAAACAGTAATATAATTTATGACGAGAGTTATTTTGGATTAACGTAATTTGAAAATAATTCTTAAGAACATGTTGGTATGCATAGCCTTACTTTAAATTTACTTGGTAAAAACAATCTTTTCGCTATTTTTCAGATTTCTTTAGCCCACGAAGTGAGAATGTGGGGTTACTCTTCCAAGAAGATTAATAAGGTCACGTTGGAGAACTTCTTTGTTTGGGCTGCTGCTTGTCTACAACTTCAGTTTATTTGGTACCTATATAAGGTTTTTTGCAACAGTGTGACTGACAGACTTTTCCGAGCCCCTTGTATAGGGTGAATCTCTACTTTTAAAGGCTTTATAATTGTGACAATTTATTCTTTTGTGAAATAAGAACACCTTCATTTGTTTGACACATGAAAAGATAACCCATTTTAGATTTTGAGTCTGAAAAGTAGAGTTGGTGATATTTTTCACAATCAGACTATTTTCTTTATTTCTTATTTAAGAAAACATTCCATTGTTGTGACTCACATTAAAGAACGCGTGTGTTTTACGTCACTTGGTCCGTGGCCTTATCGAATTGCTCGTTGTGCCTGACCTAATGACTATGGATCAAGTTACTGTGTGCCACGTGCCCCTGAGTTTACGCAAGAACAACAGGGACACTTTGGTACCTCGTAACAAACAAGTGATGATGAAAGAAGATGCTTTTGTGGACACACAAGTTATGTATGTGGCTGCTAGTGATAATGGTCCTGTAAACCTGCACTCAAAGGAACGGAGAGTTATTTTAAATGGTGGACCTGCAGAGTGTGAACAAGATGAGGAGATGGGTGAAGACCCAAATTCCAGCTGTCATACTTTTGTCCAAGATAATTATAGGCAACCTCCTTCACCTCCAGGGAGCCCTATGTGTATAGCTGAGGAGAATGGTCAATTTGATACAACACGCAAGGTATCGATTGGTTATTTTGATTACTAAAGTTTGTTAGATTCTTTTCCATTTCTTACTTGTCTTTATTTGCATCAATGGAATGCATTCAAGCTAGTTAGGATGATAGGAACACTAAGAAATATGTCAAATGGAACACCATTTGGTACCCCAACAACTTGTCACAAAGAAACAAAGTGTACATCTGTTATATTACATCCAAGAAAAATTTCCCAAACATCACTAGGATGTTTCTTATAAAGAGTCATTTAGTTAGGACAGCACAACATGAAGCATTCTTTGAACTCTTAGTTTTTCATTTACTTTCCAACATTGCCCACAGTTTCAAACTTCCTAAGTTGAGTGGTTTAAAGCAACGAGCGACATGCAGTACAGTTGTACAAATCGGGAACAAAGCTAAAGTTGTACAGTATATTTTGTATTAAATAGTTGAAGCTATTGTACAAAGATAGGTCAGTGTTTAAAAAAAAGAAAGGAAGTCCTTAATTTTCTGTAGATCCCTAATTTGTTTTAAATTTCAAACACTTCATATAGTCTTACAATAAAGTTTGCTCCTTAGATCAGAATCATTCCAAAGTTATATGGCTGTGTAATGGATTTTTCCATTATTGCCATTGTTTTTAGATGATATGGTATGGGGCAATGCAACTCGTACGTTTCAAGTTTACATTTTCACCCTGGATCGAGTGCGACTCACTGATTAACAGACTGGATTATGGATCTGTTGTCTATAATTTGCCTCCTATAACTGCTATTAGCTGCTTTCCCTCTAGTCTTTCAGAACAAAATTAGAGATGGCTAGCAGAGATAGCCCTTAAGTAGCTTCACCCAGGAATGAAGTTTAATAGTGATTCACGATTGTCACTTTAAACCCATTACATTGAGTTAGAATTACCGATTATGCGAGGCAAAGCAGGGAACCCATGTTATTGAGCTACTCCTTAGATTTGCTGACATGACACGTTCCTTCCCACATCAGTAAAACATTAACAAAGAACACATACAAAAAAAAACATGCTTTCTGGTGTAGTTTTCTTGTAATTATTAACACTTACAATGCCAAACATGTCCATTTGACATGCCATGTTGTGTGGTAAGAGTAGAAAGGTCATTACAAGGTTAATTTTAAATATGTATTATATGTAAATCAGGTTTTTTTTTAGAATATAATGAAGCTTTTTAAGCTCCCAAGGTCTCGTTATTGGAAACCTAACAAATCCATTGTTTGAAAATATCAAAAATCTATGTTCCAAGGACTCGGCATTAATAAGGGGTTTTGATACGTCTTTAATCTACAGCATGTTAAGAAATATATTTTTGGAACACTTTATACTTTTAAAAACTGCTATATTATTAAATGAAATGCATGCAAGTTACGAAACAACTTACAACTTTATATCGGTGTTAATTACATTAACGTGAGAAATCTGTAGCCATCTTTTTTCTTAAAACTCGCTTTCATAACTTAGATAAAATATTGTAAAAACTTTCAGTGAGTAGTTGAAAAAATATTACCTTGAATGTTTCATCTCCACCATTTCCAACAGTAATGTTACAAGAAATACATTATAGTTTTAAGTTTTATCAGCAACATGTATTGTTACAGCTCCTTAAGGATATTTTTATTATAGTTACCAGAAAGAGTTCTCAACCATTTTACTGTCCTTAAGTAGACATTTTGTTATTTGAATTTTTTTCAGCAACTTGTTTCTCTTGACATTCATATGATAGTAACTCGACATTATCTAGTGAACTATGAAACATGCTACCCTGATTAATTATAAGCAGTGTTTTTAAAGTATTTGACATTCATATGATGGTAACTCGACATTATCTAGCGAACTATGAAACATGCTACCCTGATTAATTATAAGCAGTGTTTTTA